CGAAGCTAGTGCTTGCTACACTTTCCCTCCATCTCTTCACTTGCCGCACCCTTCCCAACCCCCATCCTTCCGTGTGTGTGTGTGTGTGCGTGTTCATTCCCTCTCACTCCTCCTCAAACCCAGTGCTGTTACAATTCCCCTATAGCCCTCCCTTTGCCGGACCTTTTATCAATACCTGCCCTTGTGCTGTTGGGACCCTACCTCATCACTCTTTCAGCCGTTTCTTTCCTCACCACGGGCAATGCGATCCCTAAGGAGCGGTGATCCCTATATAGTATATACCAAATAATGTACTTATATTTTACGGATTAAAAAAAACTATAGCACATTGCACATTTCAAACGCGAAGTGGTGTACTTGTCAAAATTGGTATTTCCATACTAATAGGACTCTAATCTGGAATAATAGCAAAAAAAATCAAAAGCAATGGACTGACTATCTAGCCGGTCCGTAATCAATATATTTACCATAGCCCCCATCAAGCGACGCACTCTCTCTCTCTCTCTCTCTCTCTCTCTCTCTCTCTCTCTCTCTCTCTCTCTCTCTCTCTCCCATCTCTCCCATTCGACTCTGCCGCTAAGTGTGAACACTGCGAAGTCACACTGTTGGCCAGTCTTCCCTATAGCACAAGAGCTAAGTGCGCAGTCACACTGTTGGCCAGCCTCCCCGACAGCACAAGGGATGTGGCTGCCCCCCTTAAAGCACCAGTACACGGGCACGTGGGCAGCGGGCCTGAAAGCTCGAATTCTGGAGGCGCAAAAAAACTCAACGGCCGATCGAATTTATCAACGGCAGGCCCAGCATTTGACGTTTCCACCTCTCGTTTTTTTCTTGTGGCGACAAGTTTCGGACTGCAAGGCTGGGGCAGTTTACTTGTGGTTTAACAGAAACACAAGCAGGATTTGAACCTGTGACCTTCAACTTGGATCCAGGAAGAGAGCTCAACAGGAAGAAGGGCTCAGCCCACAGTGCCTTTTTACATCACCACTGCACGTCGCAGGCCACTCTATTCTCCCACTTCGCATTGACTACAGCCTCTCATTTTATCAGAAGCAAGGGCAGGATTTGAACCTGTGACCTTCAAGTTGGAAGAAGGAAGCCAACTCCTGAAGCTGTACTGGGCAGCAGAAGCACAGGCCATTTTATCAGTTGGGGGCACGAAGGCCAAAGCTGTCCCCGTTCTTTGCTTAGTTGGGCAGGCAGGTGGAGCAAAGCACTCTCTCACACATTTTACTCTACGGCAAAGTCCAAGAGCGCAACCTCCGTTAGTCCCGCCATTCGCGGACAGATTTCTGCTCCATTCCTTGGAATGGAGCTCACGATACAAGCTGTAATGACAGCCATGCAGCACATGCAACCTCTTATCTTCTCCTGAGCTCAGCAGGCCTTTCACAACACGTCGAAACCTCTGTTAGACCCCTGCCATTGGTGGACATATTCCTTGTCCTGAGCTCAGAAGGCCTTTCACTCGCGTCGCAACCTCTCTTAAGTTCGCCATTGGTGGACAGATTTCTGCTCCATTCCTTAAGTGCTCACGACACACGCCGTAACGACAGCCATGCAGCACGTGTATGAAGGCGAAGTACATCCCACGTTTACGAGGAGTTTCTTTCATCTGCCAAGGGCGGTCGGTACGGTTTTGCGCGTTATATCCAACTAAACCACATGCTCAACTGTGTTTGGGCAAGCCGCCCTCCATTCATTCAAGTTTTCAGCCTTGGGGCCCATACTCCCCACGCGGAGCGGCGGAGGCTGCCTACACCGCCCCTCTTATCTTATCCTGAGCTCAGCACACCTTTCACTCACCTCGCGCTACCCTCTACCCTCGATAGGCAGGCGGGTGGAGCAACACACTCTCTCTCCTATTTACTCTCTAGCTACGCGCAACATCCAACTTCTCAGTTAGTGCTGCTATTCCTGGAAAGATATCTCCTCCCCTCCTGCAGTGCTCTACCTACACCGCCTTTTCATATTTCGCTGAGCTCAGCAGGTTGTTTGCTCACTTCAAGTGGGAATGGGACGGGAACTAGAATAGTGGGACCGGTTTGACCCACTTTTCTTATTGTCTACTGGAGCCAAAGGCTCCCATTCTTACAAGTGGGAATGGGACTGGGACTGGAGCAGTGGATTGGTTCCTGCTAGCCTCGAGAGTCCGGTCCCCTCTTCCACTTCACGATTATTCCCTCGGGTCGCCAAGTCGAACGAGTGCGCTCTCTCCCGATCTACTCTGTTGCTAATGAAACTCCAGACCTGAGCTTCGCCCTGCCGTTGCCGCAGATCACCTCCGTGACGACCTGAGAAGTGAGGCGAGAAGGGCAATGACCACCTGGGACATGACGTCCAAAGCTGTCCCCCCTCCGCCACCTCCTCCTCCCCCCCCTTCCCCTGAAGACCTACCTTTTCCATGTCCCCACTCTTCATTTGCTCACTTGGGCTTGCTCGAATAGCAGGATCCTCAAGGCTCCGTTCTCCTCTTCCACTTCATGATTATTTCCCTCAGGCGGCCAAGTCGAACGAGTACACTCTCTCTCCCATGTCACTCTGCTGCTATTGCAACTGCGCAGCTGAGCTCCGCCTTGCCGTCGATGGGGATCACCTCAGCGGCAAGGCAATCAGGGCGATGCCCACCTGAGCAGTGAGCCAAGAAGGATGATGACAACCTGGGCCGTGAGGCGGGGAGGGCGATGACCGCACTATGCTCAACCCCACGGACACGTCATGTATGCTGTGAGATGTAATGCCTTGCATCGTGTTTTATTTAATGTAAGTGTGGTCGTTGCCGGGGAAAGACCTTTGCTCCCTACTGTGGCAGCGCCCACAGCACCCGCTTATCTTCCGCTGAGTGCAGCAAGGACTTGTTTGCTTCGCTTCTTCACATAACCGTTCATTATACTGAAAGAAAAGATTATCAGCTGAAGAATCCATGTGCTAGAAAATCCTAAGGCTTCCGGATGGGCTCCTCCTCCTCCTCCTCCTCCCCCTCCTCCCCCTCCCCTCTACTCATTTCTCTCAAGGAGGCTCCCTTATGGTATTCAATTATTTATCGACTTCATCAGCATGGGAATGCTCGCCAGCCGTCCCATTACAGTTCATTCCCCCATCGGCTGCCGCCCTTTACGTGGGCTATTATTTCCCCTCTATGGATGGGTGTCAAAACCTTCTCTGGTTCTTCCAACTGTCATCTCCAAGTGTCATTTTACTCAGATTACTGAGATCAAGCCCTTGATTGATTCATTGATGGATGAATTCATTGATTAATTGATTGATGAATTGACTGATTCATACTGACTAGATTCATACTGACTAGACCACTGGGGATTGGCCTAAGACGCTGGAAGAAAGAACGTGTACGAGAGAACATGCACGATATGACCTTACTTCTCTCGTCTCTCCCTCACCTCCACCAGGTCCAAAAACTCTTCCGGATTCAAGAGATGCCGCCGATGATCCTCCGTCCACGTTGCCGGCCGAGGGTCCATCTCCGATTCCCCTTCGCGGAAGTACCTGTGGTGATGTTCCATTTGCGCATGACCCCTGTAAACGTCACCATCGCCAATGTACTCGGACTCTGCCCTCGTCGGGTTATTCGTCCCGTCTGATGCCGCCACCAATGGCCTCCGTAGACTGCCTCTCCCAAGAGCACCATTGGACCTTGCTCTCCTGTCCTCCTCCATCGTTGCAGGTGGTGTCGGGGCAGCTGCGATTTCGTAAGTGTATTGCCGTCTGTGTCGTGGTGGGGATGCTGCACTTCTTGTCAGAGATAGAGACTGCAATCAATACACAGAGCATAGACGCGTGTCGGGGGGAGCAGGGAGGGGAGGGGAAACAATTGCCCTCAACAAGTTAGTCATGATGATGATCAGGGAACAATAGACGGTTGATGCGACACTTTTGTCTACCTTTTTTGAGGTTTTTTCCCCTCTTGTTAAAGTGGTGGCTCCAGAAGAATCAGAACCCTATGTCAACGTTGTAGGCTGCGTAACCGTCGTGTGCTTAGCGGCCAGGCCCGACTGGTGGGGATTATGTTTGTGTGCTATGGAGGCACGAACCTGACCCAGTTATTAAGCCAGTTTCATGCTTTCAAAGCCCTTGCCTGACCATTCACGTAAAACCACCAGTCCATCTGAAGCTGATTTGCCAAAACAAAAAAGAAAGAAAGAAAGAAAGAAAGAAAGAAAGAAAGAAAGACAAACCAAAAAATGGCAAAAAATGCATTTTGCTGAGCCTAAAACTGCCCGGTAGCAGCAGTTGCAAAAATTGACATAGTACCAGTACTGCCGAGCCTCTGTATTATTGAGAAGTATGGGCCTGTATGGCCCTCCCACAGACATTTTTTGGGGGTATGAAGCTACTGTTCATCCGTCAATCTACCGCCCCTGGGGCCGTTCAGGCCAAGGGGCGGTACTCATAGACGAAAACGGATGAACAGCAAGTTTGGATGGGCTTGTGGCTTAAACCACCAGCACTTCCTAGATTTGTGCCCGTTAATGCGCCACGATTTTAGGAAACGTACGGGCTACTACAGGAGCGCCCAAATTCGTCCGACTAGAAATGTTTCTACTCTTTTTTCTTCGGCGGCCGATAGCTGGGCCAAGTACTGGTGGTTTAAGTACTGGTGGGTTAAACCAGCAGTACTGCCGAGCTTGGAAACGTCCTGCACTACCCAAGAAAACAAACCGGCACCGGCCTTCTTTTGGCTGGTGCCGCCAGGCGTTTTGCTCCGGCAGGCGCAGACGCAGACGGGCGTTGGAACAAAAGTAGAGCTGCTGTTCTTTTCTTTTCTGATTTTTTTTTTTTTTTTAAACCATCATCAGCGGGCCAACTGTTGGGGTTTAATACAAGTTGTTTAAGCTTGTTTCTAGTCCTCCGTTTTTCATGTTTGCTGCTCTCCAGATTTGAACCCAGGACCTATGAGTAGAAGCTATCAGCGATATCCCTAGACACATAGGACACACTCGTTCAATCCTCAGAATGAGGGCCGGATAGGACGCCATAGGCCAAGGCAAAGAGCAGTTCACAAAAGTATCGAGGCAGTAGCGAGTTTCCCTACAGTTTTCATTCGTGTCGTTCGGAGATGGCGAGGTCATGAACAGCACCATTTTTTAGCACTTGAAAAAGGGCGAGTCTGGGCGCAGCCATAGCTGCTACCACGGTAGTTTTCGGTGGTATGGGGCATCATTTTGAGAGCCGGTTGTTGCAGGCTGCTCAGGGAAGCCAGGTGCCCAAGTGGACATCATAACTGTTTCTTGTTTTCATTAACCATGCTGGGGTGGATTCCTGATACAAGCTTTGTGTGAAGTTTCATGTCAATCATGATCGCTTCCAATCAACTTTTCACAAGCCCATACTCAAACTAGGACCTTTTCTTGCAAATCCACAAAATTTGCGCCAAGTTCAATAGTTTATACTACTTTATAGATTGTTTACAGTAGCACAGATCCCCTCAGACACCAAAATCACAAAATGCTGAAGGGGGAAATGGAAATTACAGAAAGGAGAAGGCAAAAGGGAAAAGACCGAAGAAGGGAAAAGGGAAAAGACCAAAGGGGGAGCAGGAAGGGGGAAGCGGGAACCTGCAATGGGCAGAATTGAGAATTTATGAGTGTACCTGATCGTGTGATCCATTGAGGGAAGAGAGGGAAGAGGGGGCAGAGGGCG